CCGGGACGGGGCGCCCCGTGCGCCGCTGTGCACCGTGCCCTCCTCCTCCCCCCGCCCCGAAACACCCGCAGTTCGGGTACCCGTATCGCGAACGTGAGTGGGAGCGGGGCTCTTCGCTGCAACGTCCCCTGGGAGCTGGCAGCCATTTAAGCGGGTGTACACAAGGCGCCAGCTTTGCGTGTGTGCCGCTTCCTCGGGACGTCGGTAAAGCTTAGTTTCGCTTGGGCAGAGGGCAAGCGCTTCCTAGCTTTTCTCCCCGAGCGCAAAAGGAAGGGAGCAGCCCCCCTTGGCTTGAGGAGTTTGGGGAAACGCGGAATGCAGCGATTCTCTGGGAGACTGCCATTGTCCGCTTCCTCGAAAGGAAGCCGGAGGGGCTGGGAGAGGCTTCCTCCGGGAGTTCACACGGAGTTGTTGTTGGGTGAGGTGCCGTGAGCGGCCCATGGAGGAAGAGGCCTTCCCGGGTAGGGCTGCTGCAGGGCCGCGGTTACCTGCTTCTTCCTCCGTTGCACAAGCTGTTTCCAGCTCTGCACGTATTCCTGCCCCGGCCCGCCCTGCCGGGGGCTGAGTCCAAACTGTCATTAACTGAAACCGCCTTTGGGGGCGGGGGGAGTGAGGATCGAGGCATGTGGCCTTTTTTACGGCAGATACACGAACATACCTCACAAATGTTTAGACTGATCTCTGAAATACTTTCAGCTTCCTACTTATGATGCTGCTCTGTGCGGGTGAACCCTTGATCACCTCTCAGCTGTGGGCCTGTTTCGGCTCTTGCTGCATCTAAAATGGGATGGGACTGGACTTCCTGAAGCTGCAACACCTCCGACTGTAAATCCTGTTAGCTCAGGCTGCCTAGGCCACGGTGGACCAGTACCTCAGTAGAAGAGGGAAAAGAAGGAGGATTTGCTCTTCTGACATTCCATACTGGAATACTGTAAGGTATGGATTAGGGTCATTAGAAGTGACATCACATTTCCCCCCCCCCCCCAAAAAAGTAGGATAACTAACACAGTAATAATCACTGGTTCCAGTTTAGTCGTTTATCTTCTGCCTAATTAAGTTGTCTTTGTAATTCCAGCTGAATATTATATTGCTGCTGTGTGCTAATGTTAGAGTGCTGCTAAGAAGCTACCACATTCAGTTTCTAGGAGGAGAGTTGAATTAAAATGCATTTTGCATTGTTTGTATGGAGAGGATTTTTTTCTTGAAGTGTATCTCTCTTTAGGGGAGGAAAGGCTATTGAGCATTTTACTTCCCTTTCTTGAGAGAAGGCTTAGGCCAAAATGAAAGGCTTGCTATTATGCAGAGAAAGCGCAAACTCCATGGTGTTATGTCTGCTAAATGTCCATACTGGAATTGTTTTGTAAGTAGGACAGACTAGAATTTTGCACTTTCGAAGTGACTGCCTGAGGTTGTTGAGCGCATGTCTAACTTAAAGCCTAGATTGAGTCTATAAGGAAGAATGGTTTAATTTGGAGCCTTTTTGAATGAGGAACGCTGCAAAAATAACTTGTGATTTTTTTTTTTACCTTCCTTAATAGGTCTCCTGGGGGGGAGCAGGGGATATTTTAAGATATCTGGCAGGGTAAAATTTTCCCAGTACCACACTCTTTGTGGGGGAGGGAGGACATACAGCATGTGACCTAAGCTCTGGATAAAATGGAAGGAAACTAGCTCTTTGAAGATGGAAGTGCAGAATGTTTTTTGTTTGTAAACGCTCAGTGGGATGATCTCCTTTCCAAGACTCTGTCAGTGAGTTAGGTGTCAGTACTTGCATGCTCCAGTGACTTCTCGAGCGACTTTATGCTAACAATACATGTGTTAAACTTTAAATATTTGGATGTGGATGGTTATTTATGAGATACTAGTACAGCTGTTTGCTTGACAGAGAATTTGCATGGGGAAGGAAAGGTTCGGTTGGGAATTCAACAGTCTCTTCACTGGTATGCTGTGGAGCAGTTTTTTAACAAACCCAGGATGCCTATGTTTTCGGAGTGGTGTTCTTTGCTGTGTGGCTAATGATACTGAAAGAAGGTGCTCTTAGGGCATGATGTGTGCCCTTTTAAAAAGCTGGGAGAGGGGGGTAAGAGTTTCCCTTTCATTAAAAGATCTTAATGTTCAAAGTTAGTGTCAATAAACCAACAAGTTTTAGAAATAGCTTCCTGAAAGTATGGACATGCTTTCATAGTAATGTTAAAAAAAACAATATGCAAACAACTTGTTTGGCTTGCTGCTTTATTTCTGTTGCTGATCTCACTCATAGGTGAGCAATTTGCTAAAAGCTAAAGTCTAGAACTAAGTCAGCGAAGTATTGAATGCTACTATTTTCTGATCTGTTTTGTAAGTAAGATTTTATTCAGTGTAAATTGATTCTGTTAGCTTTCTTTGTGTTAGTGAAGTGTTGTCTCTGCTCTCTGGGTAAAAGGAGCAGATGAGAAGAAGCCTTACTTGAATTTTGAGTGAGTCTTCTCATTGCCTGACATCTTGTGCAGTGTAGAATAATTCACCTTATGCTGTTTTTCTAGTTTCTAACCTCTTTCCTCCCTTCCCCTCCCTGCCCTGTTTGAGTGGGGGAGAAAAAGAAAAATATTTTCCTTATATTTTGGAAGCTGTGTGTTGGAAGCAATGTCTATGCAAGAGCCTTCACATAGCCTTTCTGATAGGACTGAAACTAGATATGTTCTGGGCTACTTCTTGCTAGATTGAGGCCTTGCGATACCTAATCAAAAGATCATAAGAGTCCTTTACTTTTTTGTAAATAATTTGTATGAAAAAGTTAAATTGGCTAAGCTCTAGTGTGTAACTGAGGGATATGCCATTTAACTTATAGCTTGTTCTGTCCTGAGGTTGATGTTTGCTGTTCTTTAAGGGTAGTTGTTTGTAGTTTATGAAGCCATACACGAGTACCTGTAAATGGGTGGTTTGGGAAGAGGAAAAACTTCTGGCAAATTCCTGCTACAATAAATTCTTACTCTTCTATCAAGTTCCCCATAGTATATTCAGTGTGGCAGAGTTTGAGCTCTGTTAAACATGAATAAGTTAAATTCTTTTTCTAATCTCGTGGTGGGGGGAGGGAGAAGAGACACAGGGCTATTGTGAAAATTGCTTCTATGGATCCTCCCTTTGTGTAGGTTTTGTCTTTTACCAAAAAAATTCCACTTGCATGGTATATGATAAAATATGTGGATTGCAGATGCAAAAAATCTGAGACACTTAACACTCAGCTCATGTGTGAATCAAGAGTGTTTTTACTCATGAGGCTTTTGAGCCATGGCACTGTGGCTTCCTGAGTCAAAACTTCCTGTTTCTGATAAAGGGGGGCCTCTATACTTTTTTCACTTTGGCATCCATTATATATTATCAGGGCTACTAACAGGCTACACTTCATAAAATTCACAAACACTATAATTCTCATGTCCCTCAAGCTCTTCCACAGAAGTTCCTAAAATAAATCACCCCCCCAAACCAGAATGTTTGTTTTTAATTTGAAGGGAATGTTGCTGTCTTCTAAGGGGGAGTTGAAGCAGTCCTTTTCCAGGTGGCTTCCGACTGTACCTGCCAAATGATAGTTGTATGTCTTCCCCACTAGTGTTGAACACTCTTAAAATCCACAGCTGTTAAAGCTGCAGTGGTAGCTTCTGTGAGGATAGTTAACAGCCTTTCACTTCATAGTGGCAGGAACAAAATGCTTCTCCTTGACCCTTTGGATCATGCTTGGCCAAAAGCACCTGATGAGACAAAGGTTAAGACCAATGTCAGATCTTCAGAGTAAAGCTGAACAAAGTCGGGTATATGTGGGTTTTTAAGTTTAAATAGTTTGGGGGTCTCCAGAAAGGTTGGAATACGACTTTAATCTGGCAAATTTTAGTTCAAAAAAGGACAATTTTTTTTTGAATGGGTGGGGCAGCTGTCTGGATTCAAATCACTACTTTTTGAAAAAAGCCACTATTTAATTAAACATAGTTGAAGGTCTTGTATTTGAATTTTTTGCTTTGTAGAATAGCTTTTCTTTATTCTTGTTGGTGACTGGAATGTCTCTTCAGTATGGTCAGAGCTGAAAATCATTGTTGGGTTGATTCTTCTATTTTGGACATATTACAGGCGAGGATTGCAGCAAAGGATTTAACTTGTAGAAAATAGCATTCCTCAAATATTGACAGGGTAAGAGATTCCAGTGTTCACAACTGAGACCAGTGACTTGAATGGCCAGACTTTCTGCTTACCTCATTAAGTCTGACAAATCTTGGAACTGAAGCCTTGTGAGAGCATTCACACCTGACTTCTGGTGTCTAATTTTGCAGAAGACTTATAGAAACTGAGATTAAAATATGATGAACTGTATCCAAAAACAGGGCTCTCTGCAGGATGTTAGATGAGGCAGTTAATTTTCCTATGTGGTTCAAAGTGTGCCTCCACCTCAATTTGGGGTGGGGATCCAGCACTTGTTTTTTGTCAGTTTCCTGTTCCTCTTGCTTTTCAGGAGCAGAGCAGCAGTGTTTTTCCCCTTTTCTAGTAGTAAAGATCATACATGATATCTCTAGGTAAATGGTTTTCTTTTTGTATCCAGACTGCCTACTTACAGATGAGAACTGTTTGTGTCTTGACTGAAATGTGTGCAGGAGCTAAAAATCTTAGGGCTGTCTTTATCCTTAAACTGAACCTGAATGTCTTGAGCAAGTGTGTAAGAAACATAGGGCTTTGCTACCTCTTATTCTTTCTGATAGGCATTGTTGAACATTGTCGAACATTGTCCTGCATTACAAAGGAGCTTTTCTGTTGTACTGGTATGCCCTCAGTCTAGAGAGCAGGCATTTCTGACAAATAATAGTTCTTGTGAAGACCTCTGCTGAGGCCACTGAAGTAGTTAGGAACTCTAACTATTGACAGGCTAAGGCCCTTAGCTGAGAGAGTGACTGCATGTGAGCATTTGACTGTTTTGTGTGGTTGTCTTTTTTCTTTGGCTTTTTGTTCTGTTTCAAAGAGGTTGATAGTGGTACCAACCCAGACTTGTTCCTGTGGCCCAACAGATGTTTTCAGCAATGTTTTTTCCTGTTTTAAATGTTTTTGTTTTCTGCTTGAAGGCTAAATATATGATATTTGTCTGTCTCTGCAAAGGGATTTTCTCTAAATAATGGGTGGACTTAGAGGTAACAAGGCAGCTTCCTCTTGCTGCAGCAGCTGCTATATAAAACAGAATGAAGTGTTTGAGGGAGCTGAATACTGTGAATTTTAATGTTTCAAAGAGTGTGATTTGCCCTGAGTCTGCTTAGCAAGAGCTGTCTCCTCTTCTGGGCATAAAATCAGTGCTGAAATGTCTAGCTCGACGTCTAGAGACTCCTGAATAGAAAATAGGGAATATCATCAAGGAACTTGCATCTGAAGGAAGACACCTGAGGTGCTGGACTTTGGTCTCTTATGCAACAGCAGACTCCTGATTGCCAGGATATGGTGCTGATTCTCCTCATATTCATTTTTCCCCTCAACAACTTGCTATTAAATGGTACTCAGGGAGACACTTAATGCTCACGTGGGAAGAGGTTGAACTGAGGTTGAACTGCCTATAATAAAAAAAGGATAGTAAACATAATCTACCCTTCCTGAGCATTAAGTTACTTCAGTTTGTCTGCATGGAGGAAAGGAGTTTCATCTAAAAAATCTGGCAGCTTTGAAAGTAATGGATAGAGAATTAATGTGAGAGGATTCTTGGAAAGCAATGAGTGATGTTTTTTTTCCCCCCTCAAATTGTACAGAACATTGAGATTGAAAAGGGTATTTTGACACTGGCCAGAGCACTGACTGGCTCCTGCAAAGCAGAGGGGAGTTCAACAGTAAAACCTGTTCCAGCTGGAACAAATAGGGGAAGATGTCTTCCTGCTTTGGTTTTCTTTCTGGGTTGTGCTGTTTGTGTAGCTAGTAATGCTGTTGGCCTATTAGGATAG